GATAAGCAGAAGGCTACAAATGACAGACTCCTGGCTACCCACTGGGCAACTCAGGTCCAGAAAATGATGGACAGTTGTGGCATGGTAGTGTAGATTTCATAGTGTATATTATAGCATAAGTTTATAGTTCCTGGAAATTTTTAAATGAGGGTTATGGGATAAGAATAAGGGGATCCACAGAGGGAAGAACGGCCGTGGCAACATCAACATTTGAACTTTGTGCCAATAGAGGAGGGCCCAGTGGGAGAGGTCATGTTGATGAAGAAGATGGAGCAGTAGAGAAGTGTGGTCCAGCATGCAGTGCGGCAGGGTGCAAAGAAGGGGACAATTTACGGAAAGGAAAATGCATGGAACCTGCAGGATTTATTGCTGGAGTAATGCAAGAGAGAAGAGCTTGGTAACTTGAGGAAAAAGAGACATTGCTGCATGTGTTTTCACTCTGGGCGTTCTAGCCTTTGCTGCATATATTTCTGAAATACATCCCTAGGTTAAAGAGCCAGCTGAAATAACTGTCATTTCGGGCTATGTTTCTCCGTGCATGTAATAAAATTGCATCCAATTTTTGGCTTCAAGTTTGGTCCCTATTAAATCCTAAGAGTCTTTTTATTTAAAAATAACTATAATCTTTATTTCTCTCTTTAAAATCCTAGGGTGTCATAATATTTTAGTTAGTAAAGTGGGTATTTTTTTATTGCTGTTGCTATTTCATAACAAGGTCCCAAGTATGTGTAGAAGCTCGTCCCCGTGGACTCAGGCTGGCATTCTCACAGCACGGGATCACATACGCAAACAGGTAGCTAGATGGCGAATATTCATGTTGCCCTTTCCAATACTTATGGAAAATGGAGACACCTATGCATTTCCTTAGTCTTATTTGAAACTCACATTTCCCGTTCATGCCACTGCAGAACGACGCGGATCCGTCAGGGAACATGCATTCAGAACCACGAATATCTAGAATTTGTTTTCTCGTGCACATTTATGCTGTTTAATTATGGTTGTAAATTCTCTTCAGGTTGATGTCAAATCTCAGCTGTCTCTATTTGGCCCTTAAATCTCCTAACCTACTTAAGAAAAATGAATTTTAGGTTCTGTCAAAAGTCACATGGCAGGATTTAAGTTTTTACCTGTTAATCCTCATCTGTTATCTACTTCTTTGAAACCTGACATGATGAAGAATTGTTTCACTTATAAAGGAATATTAAAAAGGGGAGGGGGGACCTCGAAGTTCTGTAATCTTGAGGGGGAGATTTTTTTCTTTTGCTCCAGGAAGCTCATCACAAAGATGGAGGACTGTACCAGGCTTTTATCAACATTTTTGGCCAAGGTATTTTCTGCTCTCAGTGCCCTGCTCTTCCCACCCTTGAGTGGCAGGTCTGCAGGTGCTGATAAGTGTGTCTTCCCAGGAGCCCATCAGCCTTATCTGCCGACTCCCCTGCTCCTGCGTGCACACAATGCATCTCCAGTAACAACAGCGCCGCGTTTCGTGCTACCGCGGCACATGCTTTCCATGTCCTTGAAGGTTTTAGCTGCAGAGTTGTGCCTCACTTGTTTCTACATTTCAATATCCCTCCTTAAACATTTGGACCTTATCTAGTGTATGTCAAGTTTAATTGTCTTTCAAATATGTCCCGAACGCTTCATGGAAGCTTTTATATATACTTATATTTTACACTCACTTTATCTCTGAAATACAGTATCTTTCTCTCAGGATAGCATCACTTGAAAATGCCCTTGAATGGGTTCTGTTTGTGGAATTTAACTGGATTCAAAGAAACAAATTTTATTTGAAACTAATTTCTCTTCTTCTGCCTCCCTTCTTTCTCCCAGTTCTCCAACACCTAATGTTCTTTCCACTGGCATCTTAGTTGTATTTTGTAAATGGGAAGTAAAAAGTAGGTTCTCGGTTTTTTATTGATGGCATTATTAGTAGTATTAAGAAGAAGAAATGGAATGGCATTGTTTGCCATTCCTTTGACCAGTTTCAAACCTTGATGAATTATTATTTGTACAGATTTTCCATGTGACATACGTGTGTGTAATTTACTTGTAGTTTAATTTCATCTGTGTTTACTTTCTTACAAAAATATATGATTTGGTAAGAAACATTAAACCCAAGAACATAAGAACAAGTCGCAATAACAGAAGTTTGTACACCGTGGGAACAGAACAGAGATGCTGATTGTCAGCAATAGGACACATGCAGATCCGTCCAGGCTGTCACCAATAGGACACATGCAGACCGGTCCAGGCGGAACTAGCGTATGAGGTCTGTGGCACTGATCCTAAGGCTTTTGGATACAAACTTCAGGCTCTGAAATAGTCCCTGAGGAAATGACTCATCCCCTCCTTTAAAGGCAAAGAGTTTAATAGGGACACTAGTGCAACAATTGGGTTTCAAGATCAGAGCCTCAAAATGAGGGAGAGATGGGATCATAAAGAGTTTGATTTGTAGATGTCTTTAATATATTAGAAGAATATTGACACCTCCTTGCTCTTATATAATAGAAATTACTCTTCTCTTATTTCATAAGAAGTTAAACATCCTCAGAATAATTAAATTATACTCAGGCTTTCCTTAACTAATTTGTGTCTATAATATTAATAAATTTGACACACTCATTCATACATAGTCTATGAAGATACCTGAAAAGAAGAAAATGCCAATTTTAATGTACTAAACAACTACGGGTTATGAAATAATGGTCTTAGGTACTATCCTCTACCTAGATATTAGAAAATTCAAAATGAATAATCTAGAAGCCAAATGTGGAAACTTAATTACATGATTGTTTAGATCACCAATAGAATGAAGCTATATGCAAACAACTCAGTTTTTCAAGTTTAAAACTGTTAAGTGTGCTCATATTTGGGGCTTGAAAGATGGCTCAGCAGTTAAGATTACTTCTTGCTCTTCCAGAGGATCTGAGTTCATTTCCTAGCACCTATGCTAGATGATACACAAATAGGTCCAAGGGATCCAATGCCCTCTTTTATAAATGCCCTCTGTGGACACCTTTAGTCTTGTGCATGTAACTACAAATATACACACATATGATGTGTCATGTCCTTCTATATGTGTTGCTGTTATTGGTTGATGAATAAAGCTGTTTAGGCCAATGGCTTAGCACAGTAAAACCAGGTGGGAAATCTGAACAGAGATTTAGAGAGAAAATAGGCAGAGTCAAGGAGACACCATGTAACTGCCGAAGGAGACAGACACCGTACCCTTAGCAATAAGCCACAGCCTCGTGCCAAACACAGATGAATAGAAATGGATTCATTTAAGATGTAAGAGTTGGTTAATAAGAAGCCTGAGCTAATAGGTCAAGCAGTGTTGTAATTAATATAGTTTCTGTGTGATTATTCAGGTCTGGGCGGCCACAAAACAAACAAGCAGTCTTTGCTTATAAAACACATATACATGTAGAACTAAAAGTACAAAAATAAATTTCTAAAAATATGGTCATATTTGTAAGTGTAAAGTCTGTTTAATCTACAGTTAAAGCACTGATATTCAAATCAGATTAATTTACTCATACACTGATTATCCTACAAACACCAATTAATAGAAATATGCAAATGGTTCAAATGACTCACTTATTTCAATTTTATGCTATATATAAACACATGTGTCTTCAGAAGATAAAATAACAGGTATGAGATGCAGATGCAGAAAACTTCAGTAAAGAATTTATATGTAAGAAGGGCAGTTGGTGGTGCACACCTTTAATCTCAGAAATGGGAAGCAAAGGCAGGCAGAACTCTGAGTTTGAGGCCAGCCTGGTCCACAAGGCAAGTTTCAGGAAAGCTAGGGAGGACTGACACACAGAGAAACCCTGTCTCGAAAAACCAAACAAAGAAGAACTTGTATGTCTAATAGAATTCATTTTCCTGAGACCAGGGTTATGCTGATACAGTATTGCTTCCAGTGGCTTTTTTCAGTTATGAGTATTTTAAATTCAGTTTGTCAGCTCCAGCTATATCTTCACTGTGAGTTCCAAATAAAAGTAAAATTTCAAATGCACCTGTCTCTACATTGCACATAGGGTCATCTCATGGAAATGGTAGAATTGAAAAATACATCCATAGTACATTCTTTCTCTGTTTTGTCTCTTTTCCCCATGTTGACTTGCAGTCTCATCTTGATAATTAATGTCATTAGTATCATTCTTTGTCCTTTACTGAATTTGCTCACAAACAGAAAAATAAACTTATATTCACTAGACTCAATGTTATCTCATTGACAGTAGTTCCAGTAATTCATGCTAACATTGATGTGAATACATGTGATGTGTTAAGAACAGACTACATGACAAATGAGAAGATTGTTTTCTAACACAAAGACTCTCCACAACCGTAGCAGCAGCTTCGTGATTTGCAGAATTCATAGTGAATGGTACATTTGAATGCTCCTAAAGGAACCTAAAGGTATAATTGCTAATTTTTAAAGTGCTTTGCACTTGTGTGTACAGGCACATACATACATATGGGTATACGTGCACACATATACAAATATACATGTATATTTATACATGTATTTGCAAAGAATTTCTCAAAGTCTCCATCTTAAGTCTCTGCTAAATGTTACTTTAAAATTTTCAGATAACTTTCTCTTCTTAGATTAGAGATTGTTGGGCCTGGAGAGATGACTCAGTGGTGAAGAGAACAGATTGCTCTTGAAGAAGGACCTGAGTTCAGTTCCCAGCACCCACGTGGCAGCTCCTAACAGCTTGGAACTCCAGTTCCAGGGAATCTGATGCCCTCTTCTGCCCTCTGTGAACATCTACACGTGTGTGGTGCACATACATTCACTCTCATAGGTGCACACATGCATACACACAATGACATTTTTAAAAAAAGAAATGTTAACTTCTGCTTTCTAGGAGATCCATCATCAGTGGGGACACTATTGTCATTAATGATTGTGTCTGACAGCATGTGTGGCACCTTGGACGCATCCTGATGCTCACAGTTTGCATTCTCTGTGTGTTTTCCAGAGATGACGGACTAGCATGGCCTGAAGCATGGCTCAGTTCTATTACAAAAGAAATGTCAACGCCCCCTACAGAGACCGCATCCCCCTGAGGATTGTCAGAGCGGAATCTGAACTCTCACCGTCTGAAAAAGCCTACTTGAATGCAGTGGAGAAGGGGGACTATGCGAGTGTCAAGAAGTCTCTTGAGGAAGCTGAGATTTACTTTAAGATCAACATTAACTGCATCGACCCCCTTGGGAGGACTGCTCTTCTCATCGCCATTGAGAACGAGAACCTGGAGCTGATTGAACTGTTGTTGAGTTTCAACGTCTACGTTGGCGATGCGCTGCTTCATGCTATCAGGAAAGAGGTGGTGGGAGCCGTGGAGCTACTGCTGAACCACAAAAAGCCAAGTGGAGAGAAGCAGGTGGGCATGAAAGTGGTGTGTCTGGTTATTATGCCGATAGAAAGGCATGTTAGATTTACAAACACCCTGAATGTGTGTGTGTGTGGGGGGGGGTTTCCTTTTGGTCTTTCATTTCGTTTCAAGAATATGGACTGTAAATTTGTAATTTGTTAGATTATTTTTCTGTTTAAGCTCTTTGCCTGTCGTGGGTTTCTGTGTCTTCTGGAAAAAGTGGATACCCGCATCTAAATTTGCTATTGTCTGTTAACACACTATCAAGGCTTCTTTGTAAATTCATCCTTAAAGAAGAAGAAGAAGTTATTGCTAGAAAGAAGCTCAGCTCTGCCTGTAGGAGAATTCCAAGACATTTATTAGTGGCAGAAGTGTAGCAACGCTTTCCTGCTCTGAAAAGAGATGAATGTAGTAGGTACAGTGCAGGCCGTTAAGCTTACTCTCCGCGTGTTTATCACTATAGAAACAGAGCGACGATAGATGGGAACAAGAAAGGGATGTTTTCATCCGTCTGGATTTTTTGCTTTGTTGCTGCCCACCGCTGTGTCAGAAAGGCCTGTTTGATCCTGTTTCCTAGACCTTGACCCCTTGACTTCCCTGCATCAAGGCTAATGATGGAGTAGCTGCAAAGACATTGCAGATGCTACCATGGCTCCCAAAATCTTTCAAAGATGTGTCTAAATAGTTCTAGCAACTTCTGCCCTTTTGACAACACACAGTCTTCTGTATCTGAAAGTTGACAGTATGTGTAGAGTCACATAGCCAATCTGTGCTCTGTCTACTCTTGTCTTTGCTTCTCTGAAGCACTTTTATCAATATCTTCACAGTTGATGGGTTGACAACCGTAGCTGAGCATCTCTTCGAGTTCTGAGATACCTTGTGTCTCATGATGCATTCTCAAATCTCATCCTCATTCACTGCTGCTTCTTCCCTGAATCAAAATATTGATAAACTAACACTCTAAGGAATCCTAATTCTCTGCTTATTGCTTTGCCAACTTGGTTGTTGTTTGTTTCATATACAGTTACGGATCTTCTTGTTACACTGTTAAACTTCACTAATAGAATCATTGGCCCTTGGAAACTTGAGCTAGCCGACATTGGGGCATACAAGATGTAGCCACGCCTAGAGACATGCACACTATTAGATCCTAGGGTTTTATCACTAAGGGGCTTCAAACACCCCAGTGGAAAAAGGAGGAATCTGGTTTACTGTGTGTAAGCGAAGGTTCTACTCTTAGTGTTAGAGCTGCATCGTTGTGACACGGCTTTGAAGAGTAACCAGCTCAGGGGAGCAAAGGTAGAGTCTCACGGTTTCAGAGATTTCAGCTCGCGGTTGCACCGTTTTCTTGCTGTGGGCTGTGGTGTGAGACAGAACAACATGGTGGAGAAGATATGACAGAGAGAACTGCTCACCTCCTCACAAGACCCTGGAGAAAGGACAGAGGGGTCAGGGAAAACCTACACCCTTCAAGGGCACAGCTTCCGTGATCTCTTTCCTCTTCCTGGGTCCTACTTGCAAGAGTTTCTGTCCTGTCCCAGTAGCCCACTAATCTAGACATTCAGTGCTAAAATGATGCATTCATTCATGAAGAGAAAGCCCTCAATCACTTCTTGAAAGCTCTGCTTTTTGATACTGCCCTGGGATCAAGGCTTCAATACAGAAGCTTCTAGGGAACATTGATGACTCAAGCTGCTACCCCTAAGTCAACTTTTGGCTTTAAATTTATGTCTGTCATCATACCCCCAAAGCATCTACATGTTTAGTAGCAACATACTATATTATATTTCTTGTTGTTTAACTTCATGTAGGTAGCCATAGGCCAGGGGTTAGGTCTTCCATGTAGGCCATCAGTAGCCTAGAAGTCTCTGGAACAAAATAGGCAGTTAATGTGATTTTCATGTGTTACTGAAGGAACTCATCAATTCTGCTTTCTAGAGGGTTCTCCAGAGTTCCTTTAGACAATGACATTTGCGCTAACCAGAGAAATCTGGTGTCTGGAGAAGGTACCTGCTATTATGAGAGTGTTTGTTGGAAAATGTTCAACTTTTGAGCTAAGTCCTCAGCTCACAAGTAGGTCCTGGCTCCTTACAGGCACTTGGACTCAGATTATTAATAGAAAGTAGTAAAGGTTTGCAGTCTGCCGGGGCACTGACGCTTCCCAGGCTGCTTGTTTCTGGAAGATGTCTCTCACATGAGTCTTCTGGCCAAGAATTCCTTTTCTATTTGTGTGTTTTAGAATTCCACCCCAGGGAAGGATAATAAAGGAACACTGCCCTTTTTGATTTGAACTTGATCGTTTCTGAAGAACTAGGCTACCTCAGAGTTCCTGGGGTGCTCCACATGGAAATGAGGCATTGGCAGCTTGAATGTACAAAGTTAATCCATAAAAGTCCATAAGCAATGTGTTGAGTGCCACCTTGACTGTTAGTATTTGGCTGTGCATGTGTTATTTCATTATATAATACATTTTTAGACACACACAACATCTCTTGGAATGTCAGTTTTCCATACATCATGTGATGTGGGAAACAAGTATATTTTTAACTAGACTTCCCTTCCCACCCCCTCACCCCCGCAATAAAGTTTAACTTTTTAGGTAAGACTTGCATTTATTGAATTTATTTTGCGTGTTGGGGTAATACACCCAATTCTAGATGTATAGATATATATTCATCCTGAAATATTCTGACATATACCAATACTAATGTTGAGGTCTCTGGTTTATTAAACATGAAGACAGTAATAATCTACTAGGTTTGATAAATGTAATTTGAAGTGAAGGTCAAGATGTGGTTCTAATATAAAACCACTAAACTTAAGATCCTGAAATATGTTGTACCGTATAGATATATTATTATTCTACAAATTTGTCACGGGTTACATTTTTTTCCTCTGGAAAAGACCCAGTGTTTGGTGGCATGCTAAAATCATCAGCCCTGGGAGACATCAAATGAATTGGTGTGCTTCTTAATTACACTCACCGGGGAGCAATTTCTGGCTCAGCCTGCTAGGCCTTGTGTTGGAGCCCAAAAAGAGACAGCATTCCTAGTCTCAAGAGTGTTAAACTCTAGTTATGAAGAAAGAAAAGGAAAAAAAATCCACTTTGGAATTAAGAATAAAGGTGGTCACAACAGAAAAGATGGCAGGAAAAAAATTCTATAATCTTTATGAAGTTAAAATAACTGGATTTGATGAACACACTCTGTTACATGGAAAAATAGGGATGTTTGGTTTAATACCTTGGGAAATTAAAAGAGAATGCATTGGCTGAAGTAAATTCTACAAGAAAAGGCCTAGGGGACCAGGTTGGATATATTTAGCTTTTAAGGACATTGATAACTCAGAGTTAATTAGAATTGTAGGTCAAGATGGAATTGGATAAGTAGATAGGTTAAAAAATAAGGAGAACAAAGTAAATAAATGACCCGTATCTCTGTAGCTCCTAATGTAGCTTTTCACCTTTTCCTCTCAGTGTTCACTGATCTATTTATGGGTCTTTAGCATGTCAAGTAACGTTTCTCAGTGTGGCTTTTCATGAAAAGGTTTAGTTTTCCTAGTTAAGTGGAAGATAGCCATGGAACGCCTTCTGTATTAAGTGTCAGTTTTCATAAATTGGGTTTTGGCATGTCAAGCTTTTTAAAATTTTTGGCATAATGAAGAAAAGAGCAATAGCTGAGAGTACAGCAAGTCTATGATTCTCGACCGCTGTGTGAAGATGGTGCACTGTGTACTCTCGTGGGGACAGCTCTCTTGCTAGCAACCTTACACTCGTCTCCTCGGGTAGGTTTCAGTTTTCTGAACTTTTCCCTACCCTTCTTAGAACCTCACTTCCCCAGAGACAGTGGCCAGGAATGATTTCTCGGTCTTCTCAGTTGATTGGTTACTCAGCTTTGAACTGTTTCCAGCTGACATTCCTTATAGATGTCTTCAGAGGCCAGATCAATGACAGTGACCTTTGGCCCAGTATAGCTGTATCGGGAAGTCGAGCGGGCTTTCCCACGCTTTATTCTCACCAGTGGTTCTTTGACTTCAGCGTCCTCAGAATCACAGGGTGGGCCTGAGGGATGCTGGGGGTTCCACCTGTGGTTTCTGACACAGCAACTTTGAAATGATGCTCTGAAATTTACACTTCTAAGAAGTTCCCAAAAGAGGCTCATGCTTGTCTTGACATAAGACTAAGGGAAACTGTGGCTTAGGGGTTGCTGAAACTGGTAGAACACACACACTTCTCTGTGTTGGATGTTAAACTATATGGTGCTAACCTGGTTTCCAGGAGATTCCTACTAATCCCTTGAAATCCTGTTAGAATGATATTATTGATTAGCTCAACAGTGAGATCCTAGAGTAGTTCAGTTGAAGATACATTGATCCCATAGTTCGGCTTCAAACCAGTCAAGGACTCTATAACCAGGACAGATCATAAAGGCATTATAATCCAGCTTTTCAGTTCAAAAAGATGGAAAGGGAAGAGGGTTCACAGAGTGCCTGGGATTTGGCCTGATCGGAGTGTTTGTAATGTCATAGCTACCTACCAAGTTTGATATAGTCATAATGGTGACAATGAAGATGCTAGTGATAGTGTTAGTGACAGTAGCGTGCTGCATTGCTAGTAGCTAAATTAATAATTTTCCTTCTGTTATCTCTTTGAAATAGCTACTCCATCTTATGAAGGTCAGCCTCCTGTTACCCCCTCTTAATAGGCGAGGAAATGAAAGGATAGCATGTTTTGATTGACATCTCCCAGGTGGCAAAGCCAAGAATCATCAGCCTTGAAACTACTGGGCCTTTGGAAGTAACTACTCATCCACTTGGCCTGGCTTTAGGCAAAGTACCAATTTGAATAGGAGATATTTGAATTGTTAATTGTTCTAATTTGAGGGACATTGGAGACATATTGAAAAGATGCTCTGGTCTTGTTTGTATGTTTGTCCTGAATATTACAATGCCATCTTAAGTCTGCTTGCTCAATAAATATTGTGGCCCTCAATGCTCTTTGCCACAGTCAT